TCCTTGACTATTAGAGGTATGATTTCAGTGTTTTGAGTTGGGAACATCAAAATGTTGAACCAGACTGCTCTAGTGATACATGTTTGCAATCCTGTAAAAATGGAAAATGTAATGTCTTTCAAACAATGTGGAAGAATGCTTTTTGATTTTATTTATTTATTTATTTTTTTCCCTCCTCAAGTGCTCACATGGAAACATAATCTTTAGGAGGGAAATTATCCTGAAAACTTTGCTCCATCCAGGCACCCCAGCGTGGTCATACAAAAACTGAAGCTCCAAAACCAGTAGGTACTTCTGGAAGCTTGACTTTGATTTCTCAAGGTCTGTTCTCCACTTAGTAGAGAAACATTTTTGTTCCAAGTGTTTGGCTCTCAGGAATGTTCTTTTTTTTAGAGACAACTTGTTCTCTACTAAGCTATTTGTAGTGCAGTCACACACAAGGTAGCTATTGAATGGTTAATAAAGGTAGTGTTCATACCCCAAAAAATAATAAAACCTGAGGCTATATGCTGCAGTTCCAGTAATTTGAAATGGAACATTGTAAGATATCCGGAAAAAGAAATACATCATGCCTTTTGAACAACTGGACAGCAAATTAACAAGCAGTGATTTTTGGCTGTCATTCATTGCCTGGTTTGTGATCAAGATCTGCTAATGTAGCAGAGGTCAAACTTGCTCATAAAATTATTCTGCACAGAAGGGACTGCAGTTTCTAGTAGCAGGTTTCAGAGTTTTTTATAAGCATGCTAATGTAATAGCATGCAAATATTGAATGCTAATTTTGAGAAAGTTTATACGGATAAGAGTGACATTTGAGGTAGAAGTGAATACATGAAGAGAATGATCCAATAACTTCAAAATTGTTAGTATGTCAGTGGAAATCTGTGAGTCAGAAATTGCGCCAATGAAAACAAATGGAGTTTCAAACTTGTTTTTAGGAAGGTGCGCCAGTATTGTGAAAGTGTGTATGAGAGGCGAGCAGTTTTGGTTTTCTGATTACTTCTTCTAACTGTAGATGCACCAATGCATTTTATCTTGTAATGACTGAGATGCTGGGACTGAGACACAAATGCTTGGTAATGGGATATGGAGCCTTTCACCTTTAGGTCATGGGTTCAGGTCTGCTTCAAGTTGAGGATGACTAAAACTTGTTACCACCTGACAGCTGCTCTTTGCCCTTGGGGGAGGGAGACGTGCTGACCCTCAGATCGTTCTTAGCAACCTGGTGTCTGTATTGACAATAAATGCTCTCTGCAGGCCCTTGAGAAGGGCAAAAGATTCAGTATGTTAACCAGGTTCCATTTCAGCCAGGAGGGAAGTCCAGGAGGTACAGCGATGTGTTTAATGGCCCACTGGCTCAGGTCAGTTCTCCTGTGTGCTGGCAGAGAACTGAGAGGGGACCTGTGGTTGTACTGCATTGAGGAGAGAGAAAGGACTTCCCTCGTCTCTGGAAAAGCCACTTAGGGGCTTTTAACAAGAACTAATATTCTACAACAAAGACGCTGGCAGTAAAACTGTCTTAGGTTGAACACCAGCCTTCACGCACATTCCTGAGCATTATAAACTGATATATTAAGTGAGGAATGGTGCCAGGACAGTGATATTATTACGTTGGCTTGATTTTTTTTTTTTCCTTGTTAGCTTACTTTTACAGAGGGCATAGTATCTCATTTCCACTAGACAACCACCCAGAATCTGATGACACCACTAAAAGGGTAGCGTACAGACTGCTGTGTTGTATTACCACTGGCCATGAGCCCATGTACTGATCTGCTATTTAAATAAGCATTCTGGCTTGTGGGCAAGAGTGCCACCAACTCAGCTATCTAGGTACTAAATCATAAGGAATCATGTAATACAGGGCTAGAATGCCATCAAGTGGCTTTTGATATATCAGAAAAGGAGAGCGTTGTGTGGGCTTTGTCACCAGAATATTGATGTGGAATAGCTCTGTCTGTCTTCAGGGTGAGATGAAATGGGAAGTACTGGTACTCTATGCCATACATACAACTTAAAAGTCAGTAGCATTTTAACTGTAAAATATTGTTGTCTCCAAATATACAAAAACAAGAGTCCAGAAAGGAAAACCACAAAGGACCATTTCTTTGGGTGGTCATAATTTCCATTGCCTCAGTTGCCCTGTAGTATGGGAATCTTCTGATGAGTGTGATACGTATATATTCTTTATAAGTGTAAGGAATGACATTCTGTGAAGTGTGTGTCTGTGTTGAGCATGGTATTGCTATCTTCAGTACACAATGAGGCTTCGGGTACATTTCTGTGATGCTTTTGGTGGTCTCTCCCTAAGTTTTGGCACAAGTTGTGGACACGTTAAAATAAATAAATAAATAAAAGCACAACAAGAATGCCTGCCTAATAGAAGTGCTTATGCAGCTGGTTGTGGAGGCTTAAGATCCTTGAGCATGGCAGCCTCCAATGATTTTTGTAACCTTTCAGTTAAAATAAGTGAAAACATACAACCTGTAGAAGCTTTCTGTAATTTTTTTTGTCTTCTCTCTTGCTCTTTATTGCTTCTGATATATTGAAAGGCCATTGATGTATCCGCTTGCTTCTGGTCCATCCATATGTTTTCACATAGTCTATCTTTGGCAGTCAGTCAGAATTTTTCTCTGCAATCTAAGTGTACATGAGCGTTACGTTGTATAAAGTATCTAAGTTTAGGCTGTGGAGTTATCGTTATTGTTTTTGGCAGAAAAAATGTTCGTAATGGACCCATCAGAGTAATAGTTAAGTGGTGTAATGCCTTAAGAAAAATGCGCAGCAGCTCTATTGTTGAGGTCTGGAACGTGTGCCCACTTTCTTGGATGTTTTTGTTATTCCTGTTTTGAGTGTAGAAGGAGAAAAAACAGCGTAGCCTCTTATGACGGGCTTATGTGATGCAATTTTGATTAGCTAAATCTACCTTGTTCAGTGAAGCTAATATGATTTGACAAGAGCTTGATTAGGAAGCAGTTGTTTCTGTTGATAGTAAACAATTGGTCACTTGCAGCAGAGATGGGAATGCCTCCTTTGTCGCGCTCCGAGTTCGCTCTGTCCGTTCAAGTCCTAGTTAAACGTAGCAGTAAATTGCGAATGGAGAGGGAGAGACTATAGTACCGGGAAGAGGTGTTTATGTAGACTACACAGTTCTGATCAAATGGAGGCTTTATTATCTTGGGTGGCATTGAAACACAGATGAAGGGAGGTGGATTGGGTTCTGAAGTACTTGTTGTGTAAAGGACTGCAAGGGAAGGTTTTGTTCCAAGACCTGTAGATTAGGATACGTGTGCTGCCCACCATTTCCTGTCAGATGAAGCAAAATACAGTATATCACAGTGCTCTGGCTAGTGGGGAATTAATGCATGATATAACTTAATGTTAGCTTTTCTGTGATTATGCATATACAGCGTCGGTGATTATATATCCTGTCACGGTAATAAGGGGAATTCAGGTGTGGAATTTGTACTTTGCTTTTTATTGTGACCTCACTACTGTTACCTGATGTGAAGAAGATAATAACACGTGACAGGCTGAGAAGATGATTGGAGGGTGTTGTGGAAATACTTATTTCTTCAAAGAATTCTCAAACTAGATATCAAGTGATGCTTCATGACAGAATAAAGATGTGACTTAATTGTTGAGAACCTGATTCTGACAGCTTTACGCATGCTGGGGTCCAGCTTCTTTGCCTGGTGGTCCTGTCATTCCTGATGAGATTACAGGTGGAGTGAGGGTCCAGCTGACTGAAAAAGTGTGTTCCAGGTCTGTTCACAGGCTTGAGAATGTCACCTACCACACTGCCAACTAGTTACAGATCAGTCTTTAGTTATGTGGCCTAAGAAGAGATAGATGTACATGTCTAATTTCTGTTCGCACTGTCACAGAACTTCTAAACTTTGGCAGTAATGCAGTTCACTAGTGCCAAGGTGACTAGACTTGATGAAAATGTAGCAAATTAGACCTGGTCTCTAGGCTTGGACTTAGCAGAGCAATAAAGGTAATAAATTGTGAGGGACGGAAACAATTTGTTGGTGGTGTTCCTGTCCCCTGCGTGTGGATATGGTCTTGATTCCGCTAATGGACTGAATTAATTGAACCCCCTCCCACACGCATTTGCTAGAGAGACTGTAGGGGAGGTTGTGTAAAGTATATGAACTCTGAATGTTTTTTTTGTAAGCTGGAAGATAATTTTCCATTTCTACATAACTTTCTCTGGCAAGGCAAATCAATATGGCTCCCTCTAGAGCGTGTCTGCTTTGCAGTCTCCTTTTGCCTTTTTTTTAAGCATATTTTGATAATGGAGCGCAATGTTCAATGCACGTAGATTTAGAAACAAATATTGAATATGAATTATCTGCTGCGTCGCACCATGTTATGTAAGTACCACTGGGGCAAATTGTTTGATTGTGAACAGTCCGTTCTGCCACGCTCAAAACTGCACCTCTTTATATGAACTTAATATTTTTCATTTTACCTAAGGTTCAGAGAAGTACACGTGTTCACTTACTCTTTCCTTCCTCCGTTTTTTTAACTGAAGAGAAACATTCCTCTTCTGCCTTTGCCAGATTATTTAGGAGAAGAGTGTAAATTGAAGCCATTTATCTTGAAATGTGCTATTGGACTAGACTGTTTATACAAGTGTAAGAAATTGTAGCATAGGAATATTTGGTCTGGTCTGCAAGGAAAAGGTTTTTCTCTTTTTTTCAGTTTTTACGTGTGGGCTACTGGTTATAATATAGAAAAACCATGTGTATAAGGGGCTCCAATTTACACTTCAGTATTTTAGTGCAGTTGGGACAATGGTGTTTTTAATGAGGACCAGGATTTTTTTTTCCCTCACAGGGCTCCTAAAACAAATTTGATACTCATTTTAGAGTTACCTTGTAATCAGTTTGAGGCCATGCGCATGGTAAAATTTTTCTGACCGAAGAGTGCTTATCGTGTAAATCCAGAATAACTTGTTATTGACTAATACAGAGCTGTTAATATTTATCCATCAGTTGGTGGACGAGTGAGTCGGGAGTTAAATTATACACGGCAGAAGATTGGAGAAGAGGCCATGTTTAACCCCCAGCTCATGATTCAGACTCCACAGGAAGATGGTGCTAATGTACTAACAACAGAGGCACTCAAACAGCACCTTGACTCTGCACTTCAGGCCAGCAGAGTACATGTTTATATGTACAACAGGTAAGGGGAAAAGCAAAGGTTTCCTTGGTTTTCTGTAACAACGGAAAAATGGACACATACTACTTTGCATGTGTTTTTTAAATGGGTAGCATTTCAAAGCCTTTTCCTTTGAGTCTGTGTTTTGATTTGAATGTCACTGGTTACTGATGCTTGAAAGTATGGTAAGATAGCAGGACCAGCTGGCTTTTGACACATTAAATGGTGTAAGAGGTGTTGGATGAGATTCTGAAAATGTACCCCTGTCGTCAATGCTACTTTTTTCTTAGTGAAGGAGCTGTAACTGGCTGTTAAACATAGGACTTATTGATGGGACTCAAAACAGTAAAAAGCCTTTTGTATTGTAGTTGAATTCACTTGCTGATACCTGCAGGAGACTTGTAATGGCTGTGAGCACTAGTAGAGGTTACTGTTCTTTCAGTAGTGTGGGTATAAAGAGAAATGCAAAAGGGTGAGAAATGACGATGGGTGGAATAACTGGGCTATTTAACAACGTAGAAGCCATCATGTTAGAGTTGGCCTTCAGAGTGTCTGTGTGCCAAAGCTGAAGATTGGAAGTTTTCTGGAGAGTAGGAGTTAAGAGTTGTCCAACAATACAAGTATTAAAGATGTATCCTAACAAGTCACCAGTTTTGGCCTAGTGGGATCTCTCCCTGAGAAGCAGTTCCTCCAAGATTGCTCCTTACAGATGCAGCCTGCGAGGCATAAAGTCCAGTGTCTTTCAGCACATCCAGCTGATGCCTAAATGAACTAGGGCCATAGCTCTAACTGTCTTTTACCCAGCCTTGTCTATAGCGCTAGAAGCCCCAACAGTGGTAGCTATAATACAGCTGAACAAAGAAGGTGGAAATCTTAACAGTTTCTTTTCTCCTGCATGCATGAGTTAGGGCTAGTATTCTAGCCCTCGGAAGCTGAGGCTGACCTCTCTCGCACTTACGTCACTGAGTGATATCCTAAGTCACAAGTGGTCTCATTTATATAGAGTCAGATTTCTATTCCTTTTAGTTCTGTTGAATAGCCTGATAATCCAACAGTAGCTCCAATATTTTTAATAAGTTTTACAGAGACTGTTTATCATTACTGAAACAAATATTTCTAGTCTATAACTACCAAAAGAAAGGCCTTTGCCTTTGTGAGGTGTGATATACTTACACTGAATAAAGCCTACTTTTCTCAGTAATTCACTGCTTGAGGTCAGCTTGTGTATATGAATAGCCATTTTACATGTATGTTACATTTTAAAAATACCTTTTCAGTCCTTGTGAAGAAAAAAATATTTATTATTCTTTGTATTTATTGCAGACAATGGAAATTGGAACACTTATGTTATAAATCAGGAGAACTCATCACAGAAGCAGGTTACATGGACCAGGTAGGCATATCATGTATTTGGTTATAAGCATTTTATATTCTTATGATTCAGCTTGTGCTGTTTGATTATATTCTAGTCTAACGGTGCATTTTTCCCCCCTTTCTGATTTTGACAGATTATAGAGTATCTTTATCCTTGTTTGATTATCACTCCTTTGGACTGCTTCTGGGAGGGAGCAAAGCTACAGTCAGGAACTGCCTACTTGTTGTGAGTGTGCTGTTTTATAACTTTCTAGTCTGACTGGTTTTAATTGTAAAACCATGCATGTTTTTGAGTTGTGTTCCCATTGTTTATTCAGATTCTGATTTAACCAAAAAATAAAAAAGTGTTACTTCTGAAAAAATGCATGTTTTTAATTGAACAAAGATATTCTGTTTCTAAAAGATGATTTGTATACACAGTTGAAGTCCATATTGTTACTCTTCTCATTCTGCTGGCACGTAAAAGAAAATATAAGTTCTAAAATCAAGCTTTTAAAATTGTTGAAAATAAAAGCAGAGGAGTTTTTCGTAAACTGCAAAACATTGATTTGCTGGGAAGTGATTTTAAGAAAATGTAGCTGTCTTGGATAGAACCTCAAATCTTCCTAAGGAATTAAAAAAATCCTTTGTTTAGGAGATCATTAAAGAAACCAAATATAGTATCTTTTATGGGTGATTTCTCGCGGTTTACAAGTGTGATATTTTATGTGATGGATTCTTCAAAGAGTTAATTGTTAATCTTTGCAGCCATTTTCTGTTAATTATGCAAGAGTTAGCATTTGAGTTATTGTTTCTGTCCTGGTTTGCATGTCTGTAAAAGCAATTTGCAATGGCCATCTCCTAACCTTTAGTGTACAGTTTTAGATGGGGAAATAAGGGGGTTTGTGTTTTCTGGTTGGGAGGTTCAGAATAATGACTTAAGCTTGGTTAAGCAGATACAGTGTGGTTTGAACCACAGAATAAGGCAGCCAAAAGCCTTTCTGGTCTGTCAACATCACAAATTCAAAAGTGGGGGGTGGGAGATGTGACAGTGATAGTGGTGACAGCCATGGCAGTAGGAAAGCTTGATGGTTGGTAGTCAAGCTGCCAGAGCATTTGAAGGAGCACAGTATTGTTATAGGTAAACAAAGATCAGCTATATTGATTGATTACATTTGCAAGATGATTATTAGGCTAGCAAGAAGTAATCTGATACTATGTGAAAGGCTTTTTTTCCTTAGCCTCCTCTCTTCTCTCCCTGTCCCCTCCCCCTAAATTCTTTGAAGCAGCAGTTGGCTGCTTTTTTGTTATTTAGGTTCTTGATGGTTTGAGTTTTTTTACTTTGTTTGTAAATGGAAGTATTTTTAACATGTGAATATTCCCTTTCATAGAGTAACTTTGTCTGTAAGTAATGAGTGTTTTTGTTAAAATTAACAAGGCTACAAGAAATAGTATACATACACGAATATAATTAAAACGTGCATTTCATTTTGTGAAACAACCTTACCAGAAAGAGTTTAGCTTGTAACAGAAAATAACTCAGTCATTTGTGTGAATATGAATTAAAAATTGTTTGTTTCAGTACATATTTGGTCATTTTCTTTGTCATTTTCCCCTGATTTCTTTTACAGGGGGAAACCTCCTTTGCAGTGGATCAACTTTGACCCCTTAGAATTCTTGGAAGAGTTAAAGAAAATAAACTACCAAGTGGAGAGCTGGGAAGAAATGCTGAATAAAGCAGAGGTTGGTCATGGTTATATGGATCGACCTTGCCTGAATCCTGCTGATCCTGATTGCCCAATCACAGCTCCCAACAAAAATTCCACCAGAGTAAGTTTGCTTATCCTTGCATATATCTCTGTTCAAGGGAGGCTGTGTGTGTGGGGAGAGAAGATAGTATCATTTCCTTCCAAGCAATATAGGTTTCATATTCTTCAGTGATTTCATTACTCTGCTCCTATTATATACAGTTAGCCCAGAATCACTAACATTCTCTCAATCTGTGAGATAATACTTAATCCGACATGCTTAAAGTGAGGTTACAGTTCGCAGCTACTGACTAGGTGTGGCAATGTGGTGACACACCATTTCAGCAGATAACATGCCTCAGGCAGACACAGCCACTCCTGGAATACCGCTGCTGCTGTGCAATGGCATCATGCAGCAAGGCTTCCTGCAAGTAGGGCCAATTTTGCCGACCTTTGTGAAGAGCTGGAAGCTGTGGGCCCCAACTTCATTACCCCTTTTTCAGTCACACTAGGCTTTGGAGAAGCTGCTCTCAGGTGACTGTGCATTGGGCTGGTTTGGCTATTCCATTTGTTGAGCACATTTCTTTCTGCAGACTTCCTGAACTATCTTTAATATCCATTATTCCAGTACACTAGGTGTTAATTTAGGATATGAGTTTGTTTGAAGTTGGGCAACTGATGAATTGTTTCTTCCTAACTTTATTCTAGCCTCTTGATGTGGCCCTTGCTCTGAGCGGTGGATGCTATGGACTGTCAAGAAAATACATGCATTGGCAGGAGGAGTTGATTATAGGTGGTACAGTCAAGAACAGTTCTGGTAAACTTGTCAGGTAAGCAAACAAATGTTTAAAGAAAACTTTAAAGCTTTTCTTTGTTAGGGCTTTTGGGGAGGTGCAGGGGGTCATGCAAAATCAATTGCCTTTCAGAATGATGCATATTATGAACCCTGGTCTAGGACAGCATCCCTGATGAGGACAGAATTTAGAAGTGTGATTAGACAGTTGCTTAAATTTAAGAAGGTATCCTTGCTGTCTGCTTCTAACCTAAGAATGATAGTATGCATTGCTCAGAAATAAAATTTTTTCCTGGCAATTTTGTGTTCAGAATGTGTGTATAAAGCATTGAACAGTGTTTAAAGCATTGAACAACTTTGATCATTTTTTGAAATATCTTCAAAGGATAAAGGGGAAAAAATAACTTCAGTAATGTGCCTACTCACTTGACTTTTCTCAGAGTTCCAGTATCTCCATTGAACCGTTTGTTTAGGATCAATAGAAAGAAAAGTCTGTTCTTTGTCACTATAATTTGAATACCATTTCGACTGCTGAAACAAAACCCTTTGTTTCAGACTTCTTGAGGAAGACATGGAACACTGGACTTTGGGTGGGGAAACCCCTTTGAAATAGAATTGTTCTGAAAAACAGAAGACACAAAATCATCAAACACTTAGATGTATAAGCAGAATCCAAATTTATATTAAACTAAAAGTAGTATAATATTTGAATATTTCACAAAAATTTTTTACCAGAAAGTTTCATAGGAATTCTGAATTTTTTTTTAACATTAGCATTAAATTTTGAAGCTTATTTTCTTACTAATTTTGATTTATTCTGAAAAAAATCACTGACATGTCTCCTAGCCTGTAGCCAAAGAATATATTATTGGTGAAAAACAAAATAGATTCCTAAGATTCTAAAACTGTTGGATACAGTTGCCTGCTATGGAAATTTATGATGAATAATTATTGCCTTTTATTATTCCTTGCTGCTTGTCAGATATTAGGGGTTTAGTCTAGCATTTCTCTCCAAGGGATGAAAAAGACCAAGGTCTTCAAATGACAAATAGCCAACAACTTACTGCTTATTTTATGCCTCTTCCTCCTCCTCCTTCTCTCCCTGCTACAGTGCCCAGGCTTTGCAAACCATGTTTCAGTTAATGACTCCAAAGCAAATGTATGAGCACTTCAAGGGATATGAATATGTTTCACACATCAACTGGAACGAGGATAAGGCAGCAGCAATTCTGGAAGCCTGGCAGAGGATGTATGTTGAGGTAAAACTGAAAAAAACTCTACATATCATACTAGAAAATCTTACTAAGATCCACTGCCTTCTCTCATGTTTTTACAGTATTTCTTCAAGGAAGATGCTTAAACTAGAACTGAGTGGTTGTATCTTGGTTTTAGCTGCAGCAGGCTATTTAAAAAGGCTGATTTCTTTCCTTTTTAATTAAGAAGATGCTTGCTTATTCACATATGAGAAGCCAGGAAAGTTTTGCTGTTTGTTGTCTAGAACTTTTTTGTGTTCCTGAGACTTAAAAGGAACTAAAGAGCTAGACTGAGTTGAAAAGTATTTGTTTGGGGTGATTATTCTAAAGGTATCTGGAAAACATTAGCTAGCTATTGACTCCTCTCCCAGCAGCAGTCCCAGCGGGGAGGCCATGTGACAGTGCCTGGCCTTTGTGTCTCAAGCCCTGACCTCTGCTGTGTCGCTTCTGACCTTTGTGAAGTGGCCAGGCAATGAGGGAAAGACCTGACGAGCGCTCTAGCTTTAGATTAAAGGCAAAACTCATATGACAGCAAATCCTTGGCAGAGTTACGGAAGGAAGAAACTTTCTTACGCTTCAGGATTTAAATTACATGTTTTTTATGAGCTGTAAGTGCTGTGGCCTTTCCTGAAGGATGCAAATTCTACTTGGATAATAAGTAGCTTGCAGGGAATAACTACCAAAAATATTTCTTTTATGCAGCATCAGTAAAATCTCTTGTGTAGGTTTGTGTGTCTTAACAGGAACACTTAAGGCATAACTAGTTGATTTCAAATGTGTGCTGTGGAAGACAACATTTTTTTGAAGTCAGACTAAGCTTTATTTTTCTTTTCATAGGTTGTTCATCAAAGTGTTGCACAAAACTCTACTCAGAAGGTGCTTTCCTTCACTACAACTACCCTAGATGACATCCTAAAGTCATTTTCTGATGTCAGTGTCATCAGAGTAGCTAGTGGCTACTTGCTAATGGTAACAAAATATTTTTTTGTTTATTTAATTGTGTTTGCTAGTGTAGCAGGCCTTGAACAACTTTTTATTGTAACCAGTTAGCGGTCCAGAACGTTTTCGGAATACTTAAAATTGGCAGTTTGTAAACATTGGCCTCAGAGTTGACACCTATTCCTTTGTGTAACATCTCTAATGTGTCTGTTCTGTCTAGAAATGCTTGTAAGCTGTGTGTGTTCTTGGGGGGATATAGGTGTTAGAGAAAGATCCATTCTTATATTTTGCTTATGTCTCTCTCTCTCTTCCTCCCCCCCCGCCGACTGTGCCAAGTCTCAGGGTGCCGTAGGGCTGGCAGGAGTCTTGTTGGTTGCACTGTCAGTGGCTGCAGGATTGGGCCTGTGCTCATTGATTGGAATTTCCTTTAATGCTGCCACAACTCAGGTATCAAGGAGCCACAAGTCTGCTGCTAAATTACAAGTACTTCGTTAGTAAATGAACACATCGGAGTCAATCTTTGAGGAAAAAGAAAAGCTGCAAAAGTGTATTGATTTTTAGATTGTGCCTTCTGTCTCATAGACTGTGCTGTAAGAAAGCAAGAGATGGTGCAGCCCTACAATACTTAAAAAAAAAAAAAAAGGGGGGGGGCAGATACCCTGCAACTTATTTCATTGGGCAGATTCTGGGATACTTGTTTCTCTGTGTCCCAGTGTGAGTGTAGGCACCCATTTATGCATAAGCTGCTGCAGGTTTTGTCCTTACATCTGAATATATCAGGATGTTTGAATTCTGCAAGTATTTTGAAAATAATTTGAAATATTCTTCAGTATTCTATGTCTACCTGAGCCTTGAATTATTTTTAGTGAGATATTCTGCCCATACATGGTCTACCCCAAGTTCTTCAGCAGTATTTCAAAATAAAAGAGCTATATTACATCCTTTTGATTTTCATTTTACTCTTGGATTTGAGTTCAAATGTAGTGTGAAAGTTATTTTGATTAGCCATCTAATGGCTAGCTGCATGGTAGAGCATAGAAGTAATATTATTAACTTTCTTGTTCTTTTGTTTGTTTTTCCCCCAAGGTTTTGCCTTTTCTTGCTCTTGGAGTTGGTGTAGATGATGTTTTCCTTCTAGCACATGCATTTAGTGAAACAGGGCAGAATAAGAGAATTCCATTTGAGGTAATGACAAAATGGGGAGTTGGGGGAAAACAAAAGAAAAAGCTTCACATAGGAAAATATATTGTACCTAGAATTGATTAGTAGGTTGTTTTGGGGATGTGTGGTTTTGTTTTTGTTTTTTTAATTTGATGATGAATGCAATACATGTGATCCTAGAATACTTTGAAACGTTCATTTTTTTCTATATAGTAGTGTCCTAGATTTATTTTATTTTGGAAATTCAATTTAGAACTGTGATATAAAAGCTCACTTACATAATGCAAATTCCATGTCTGCCCAAAAATTCAGGGAAAGTCGATGTGAATTTTGGAGCAAACTGAAATACAAGAGTCTGATGTTAAAATGGTAAAATATTTTTAATGGAAGAACGCAAAAATCTTAAGGTGAAAAGGAAGAGGAGGAGGTCAACTTAAGAAATGTTTTTACTTGCATTCACTTTTATCTTTGTTTATATGTTATATCCTTAAATGTGTGGTATTTTATATATTTTTCTCTATTTCTCTTCCTTTATTTATAATTGACCATGACGTTCCAAAGCACAGCATCTTCATGTAATGAAATCTGAAGTCTCCTCACTCTTATAATCTTTTTCCTTTACTGACCTCTTTGTTCTCAGTTCAGAGTTTCATATCCAAGATACAAATCATTTAAAAACAATGTATATTTGCCCATTTTGTTTTGTACAAGCAATGTGTTCGATGTACTCTTTTAAGCTGGTTCAGCATGCAGGCACTACAAACGCATTGTGCTATAACCTTCATATGCTTCAGAATAGCCTACTGGAAGGGGAAGGGGTCCTGTGTGTAGAAGTTTGTTTGTTTCTTTTTTTTGGGGGGGGGGGATCCTTTTTTTTTTTGTTGCTGTTGTTGCATACTTCAAGACATGTAGATAAGTTATATATCTATGTTGTTTAATGCATGCTCATTTTGTCTGAAAAATGATGAGAACACAAAGTGACTGCACTGGTACAAAGTACCTCCTACTTAATAACAGATATGTTTGGTATCTAATGTCAGTATCCATGTAGCTTTGACTTTTGAAGCTAGAGTCAGCTTTGATAATGCTTTCTACCTTCAAAAATGTTAGCGCTTCATGTGTCATCTGTTTTTCTCCTGGAAACTGTACTTAGTATATTGTTTATTATCAGATTTTTTTGCAAATGCGTGCTTGCATAGTAAGTTCCTTGTAATAGTTTTCACTATTACCATGTTATATCTGTATGACAACCCTTTCATTTGCAGGACATCACCTTATTCACTTGACTTTTAAGATACACCATTTGTTTTGCAGGACAGAACAGGTGAATGTTTGAAGCGAACAGGAGCAAGTGTAGCCCTTACATCTATCAGCAATGTTACTGCTTTCTTTATGGCTGCCTTAATCCCTATTCCTGCTTTACGAGCATTTTCACTGCAAGTAAGTTTATATGCTGTTTTGTTAGCTCTTATAGATGATCTCATCATGGGAGGCTGATGCCTATTAGTGCTGATATAGTGGCTGGTACCCCTGTTAGTGGTAGCATTAAAGTCCATGTTGCGTGCTTCTGCAGTTCACTGAACCTATATGTGATTACTGTCTACTGTAGTGCTGGTTGATGACAACTGCTTTTTCCCCTTGATTCTGCTCCTCCTGTTTCTTATACCTTGAGTCTCTCACATTCTGTTAGCGGGTGAATATCCTGCCTCGTCCTGCTGGGTTGAATGCAAAAACCAAAAGGAATGCAACTAAGCAGAAACAAGTCTACAGTAAGATTTGAACTATTAAGACAGTTAAGACCAATAGTCTGTATTCTAGTTTATAATACCTTTGCATTTTCTGAGTAGGAATTCAGTCCTTTCATTGAGGTTTGTCCAATTTGCTGCTGTTATAAACCACAACAAAAGTGCAGTAACAGCAGTGAGAATGCCCTTGTGACGTTATTACTGCAGCATTTTGTGCTGCTTTAGTCTGAAAGTAAGTTTAGCAAACTGTTGGAGAAAACTTCATCAAGAATTTTATTTTCCAACTGCTTTGAGAGAAAATGTGAATTTTATGTGCTGAACCATGTATCGCTCTCTCTCCCTTTTTCTCTCTCTTTCGTTGTCTTCTCATATTTGTCTGTGATAATCTATCTTCAGGAAGATGAAGTACTAAAGAATGGTGAAGAAAGCTTCTTTTAAAAGCAAGGGCTCTTTGAAGAAAGCTCTGAGATGCTCTCCTCTGACACAGCGTTAACGCACGAGCAATTTATAGCAGTGTCTGGCCTTGGTGCAGAGCAGGAAAACTGTACATTTTCAGTAGTCATTTTTCTGTTACAGCATGGCTCTCCAATCATTTTTCATTCTGCTTGAGCCCTTGACCTACCCAGAGGAAGCAAGGGCTGCAATTTTTCTTAATACTTGTGGAAGTTATTGCCGTTTTCAGAGATTTAAGCATGCCTGCATTAAGCTATAAAATGGTAAAGCATTCACGATTGCAGCTAAATGACCAATAAACGTTAATAACTTGTTTACGATTTTCTTCTCAAAAGGCAATTTGGTAGTAAATAACAAAGAAAATGAAGGAGAATAAAGGCATCATTGGTTTGCTGCGTGGTTGTCAGTTGAGGAGATATCTGTGGCATCTAAAACCAGAGCTTTCATCCTGAGTGCTTAGCAGTATTTAGTTCTGCTGCCTTGCCAAAACCTAGATTTCTCTTCTTACGGGGAGTATGACAGTGAATTGTTTTATATTACGGCAAAGACCAGTTTGAATGTGTAAAATATATTTAAAGTGTAACCCTTCTTCTTTTGGAAGAACTGATTTCTGTCATCTTAATTCTGCACTCAAATGTCCAACATCCTTAAGAAGCAAAAAGGATACTGGAGATTTTCACTAGAGATCAGAAGACAAGTCCTATTTTTCTGTCTTCTGGCTTTGAAGTGACTGTCCTTTGTAGACGCTTCTTCAGCCTAGATACATATCTCATAAGAAGGACCCAAAAGAGATGCGTCATTTTGTCCTAATCACTCTGCTCAACAGTTGAATGGGAGCCACCAAAATGAATTCTTTCTTCTCGGATCAAATTTTGCTCAGCCTATCTCTGTTCTTTCTTTTCGTATCAGAACATGGTAGATTGCCTTTGGAACATCTGTGGAGAAAACAGTTACAACTCATTGTAATTTGAGTATAAATAAATTTTTTTTTTCCTCAAGTCTTTACTTTTTGACTGCTGCCATGTCTTACGACTTACTGTAAACTCAGTCAACAGAAGTTCAGAAAAGGAAACCCGTGTTGTCAAATGCATGGTGCTTTCAAAAAGCAAAATGACAAACAAAAAGTTTCCAATGAGATTTCAGCGTGTATGAACATATTGATGTTATTCAAAATAACATCATGCTCAAAGGCCTTTTTAAGGCAGTGATTAATATAGAATCTGTGTAGGAATGCTGGAGTGCCCAGAAATTAATGTTTGAATTGCTCAGTCTTTTTTCACATGCATCTGTAGTCTGTTTTTGCTTGCACATAGTAAACCTTTGTATATAAGAACTGAAAAAAGTGTGTTACGAGGGCAATCTGTGACGTATACTGAGGCATTATTGGTACTAGAGCAATACGTGTATATAAGTTAGGAACCACTAAAATGACAGCCCTTGTTGTTAGAAAGGACCATCTATTACTTTTTTGTCTAGCTTCACCAGGTATAATCAAAATCAGGTGATGCATTTAATCATAGCATTCAAAGAAATCAACTAACTGTGGCAGATTTTGGTGGGTGGTCTATATTTCTATATGAATTTCTTTATTTACGGTCGTCTTCCTCCTTCTCCTCCTTACTCAGGCTTGTTTAAACAAGAACTCCTTGCTGTCCTTGTTAGCTTCCTAGCAAAATTTAGAAAGCATTGAAATACTGCAGGTTACTTTTTGTGGATGCTGACTTCTCATCTAGGTAGTGATTTTTTAACACATGGGCTGAAAAAAAAGAGGATTGCTCTTGACCTTAATTTGCTTTTCATTCACTTTTCTTAAGACATTGCACGATAACTGTTGAAGTTTCCGTGACTTTTGAGGCCCAGTATCTTTAAAATAACCCAGCTGCTGAGGGAGAATAAATGGTTTCCTGACTAGCCCTGCATGCGGAAGCCCACCTTCTAGTTAGAAAGCCATGTTTTGCATATCAGTGTTTTTTTCCCTCTTTTGCAGCTTATTTTCTGTAAGAAAATGCAGTTCATTGATACCTGAGTTGCTCATTTACCTTATGGAATTTAAACAGTGCAGGTTTGCTGCTGTCCCAGGAATTTGCTAGGGTTAGCTCAACAAAGTGGGTTAGCTCTTGCTGAGTTAAAGAAAAGGAAATCAGCAAATTTTAAAGTGAGATTTTTAAAATGAATTCCCTTATGGGGGCAGGGACTCTTTTAGATTTCTAGCTGACCTTTTCTAGGTCAGATTTTCCTATCACTTGTTGATCTTATTAGCCCATTATTTGAGGGAGTTTAGGCTTTGAGAGGCAGAATGCATCCCAAGTGCTCAGTCACAAGCATCACCTGCAAGGGAGTGCTCAGGACTTTGAAAGAGTAGGTCCTGAGTTTTCAGATGAGTTACATTTTTTAAAATCCAGGGAGGGACAATATGGAAGAAATCGCCTGAAAGTTTTTTGAAGTTTGCTGTAGGGATGTCTTAAATATAGCACTTTGTTTTGGGCATAAAGGAAGGAGGCATGGTAGAGTGTAAGTACCACAGACAGAATATTCAGACCCCTTATAGAATATATTCTGCTCTGGAAAGAGAAAACACAGCTTCATAAAAATTCACCTAACTCTCCTTGCGTATACCGGAAATTTCCTCCCCTAACAGCAGAAAAGTAGTATAGATTCACCTAATGAATAAGGGTGGAACTTTGCCCAATAAGTCTTAGCAGTAACATTTTTTTCCTCACAGTACGGATGACAAGTTTTTTCCTAAATATAAAAGTGCCTTAGCAGGTGGTGGTGGTGGGTTTGTAGAGAGAAGGAATGTAAGTTTTTAAGCTCATTCTTTATCTTACTGCACTGAAGTGGTTTGTCCCCCCCCTTCTTTTACCCAAGTCTTTTCACTTTCTCTGCTCTTGACATGAGAATTTAACAAGCAAATTTAAAGCCTAAGGGGAATGAGGGGGGTGGAAATCTGAGTCTGTGTGCTGTCAGAAGGGAGCTGCAGATAGGCAGCAGCAGTGTGGAAGTTTCCCTGACAGACCTCCTCCTCTGTTCATCACCTCTGGCTATATACAGCACACCCATTCTCCTTGGGTGGGCTGCCAGGAATGGCAAATAGCAGCACGTACCTTCGTCAGGGCCCCAGCCTACCAGCCTGGCTCGCTTCTCCCTCGCTGCCTGCAGCACAGACTGCCATTCTTCTGTTTCAGTTAACAGTTGCAGCAGCAATAATATTTTTAGGCTGTGCTTCATTAAAAGATGCTTCTCAGAAAGTGACCAAAATGTTGTCTGCCTTGTGGCGTTTTCTGGCTTCACTCTGATGTTCTTATTTTGGTGAACTCCTTCATTTCACACCCTTGAGTAGGCCCAATGTTTTTTCCCCTTCCAGGACTAATCTCACCTTTGTTGATTTTTTTCAAGGAGAAGGCCTGAGGCCCTTTCCTCTCCCAGTTGACCATTCCTTTCTGAAAGGGTGAAAGCAGATGCCCTGCCTGTTCCCAAAAATCCTCAGCATGCTTTCCACTCAGCTGCTGCTAACAGATTGCCTGTATGCTGGGAGCTGTGCTACCACAGACTTTTGTTAGCGCTTTTCCAGTCAACGTAATCATTACAGATTGTAGATATTACCAAAATTAAGATCACATTCTTTCGTAAGTTCCTGTTCACAGCCACCAGACGTCCACGTAGTATTGGGAGAGGAAGTGTTGGCTGATGCATCACTTCAGAGGCTCAGTCACTCCTTAGTAGCTCTTCCTTTTCACCTTGCTTAATCTGAATCTCAACGTACTTCTCCTTCCCCTGTCTCGTTCACTTCCAGGTACCCCTGGAGCTGGGCATGTAAAGCAGGAACGGAGATCTAAGGAAAGTGTGGTGCACCTCATCAGTTCATTGGGGTTTTTTTGGATGAGCCAACAAATTGGAATGGATATAAGAACAATATTTGTATATTTACCTGTGACAACTGAGGAGTGATATGTCCTTGAAATGCTAGGGTGGGGTGGGGGCGGGAGCGAGAGAGAGAAAAGTGTATCATATGTAGGGAGTGTGATGTTAAGCTGTAGGAATCCATTAAACCATGGATAGCGAAGATTGTTTAGAAATGTTTGACTTGTAGGGTCAGTACATCAACACCAGTATGGCATGATGGAAGACCTAGTTGTTTTAAAAAGAGATGTGATATTAATAAGTGAATGTACTGTGTTGCTAGGATAGTTCCCAACATTCTTCTTTATGAATTCTTCAGAAATCAAATACGAATGCAACTAACTTTAATGCCACATGCTTAATTATGCTTAATTATTAGTTCTCAGGTGTTCACTTGGGATTCAAGGTTGTTGGGCTCTACAAAGAGAACTGATAAAGCAGGAGGTGTTTATAGAAGTGAGCTGAAGTAGAGGACCTCAGTTAGTTTTTCAGGCATGCTGGGAAGAATACAAATTCTTGGACCAGGCCTCAGCTGATTTTTTCCATATCTCAACAGTCCTTAGCTGATCCTTGATAGGAGCTTTTGGTTAGGCACAACTGATTACTCGTGTTTTATGGGTGATTCAACTTTCGCTGATATGGCAGTAATAAAATAGAGCAGTTGTATTAAGTAGGTCCAGCAAACACCTTGCTTGCAACAGCAGCCATTTGTTTTCCTGACAGATTGAATCCATCCTGGAGAGGATCAAAAGGAAGTCACTTAATTTTGAAGTCTTGGCTGTGACCTTACATACCTTTCTGGGTGGATATTTATAAATCATGAAATGGTCATTGGATGTTTTCTCTCAAAGGTTAAAGTGATGGTTAAATGCTAATTAGGCTTTAAACACTAGATAAACTATGTTTTAATGGTTGTGTCTCCAACTAAGCATCAAGACCAAAATCTTACTTTAAGCAGGCTGGAGACAGTAAAAGAGAACCACTTTTGTGTACAATATACGTACGATATTATGATTGAAATGACTATAAAATATTTATGTAAGTGATTCTACCATTCTCAGAAAAAGAAAAACAATAACTGGTCTTTTTATTATCCTTAATAAGTTCAAAATCCTTAAAATCACTCAGTAGGTTACTACTTCGATTTTCACAGATAAAGGCAAAAAATCAAAATTGCGCTATTTAGGGTTATGTAAATCAAGTATTTTTAAGACATTAATTTTGGATGGCTTGTCTTTTGAGCTGTCAATTTTGAGGGCTGATGTTCAACATCAAAAACAGCCCTTAATTTATATTTGGAAAAAAGAAGACCCGTTTACATCAGATACTTAATTTGTGTAACCCAATTTTAGTCCTTTTTTGACTTTCTTAACCCAAGTGATTGTTTACCTCAGAAGTTATAGGTAGAGGAGCCTGATAATTTATACGCTTTCCTCAGCCTGAAACTGGGCTATGGTAGAGAGTCCTATGGCTTGTGTGATGTGAAGTAAATAAATAATGGGTAAAATATAAGGGCTTCAGGATTTTTTTATCTGATTAATTTTAACCTGTGAACCATTATTTTTAGTTGCTTTTTTTTAGTTAAAAAAAATTCTTGTTGACTTTATCCTTTGTCTCTACTACTCTCTTCCAGTCTCACCTGTCCCCAGATTTTACCTTTGTGATGGCTAGCGCTCCTAGTTACCCTGCACTACAAATAAATGCTGTTAGCAATAATGATAGCTACTGCACCATGACATGTTTATAGAGATTTTCTAGAAATCTCTGTGTAGGAGGGGGTTATCATTTGACGGGGAGGGCTGTTGTTTTTCTTTAAGTAATGCTCACTTTACAAATTAACTTCAGTATCCTTGTTCCAATTTAAGACTGGCTCATTTGTCAAGTTTGATTTAACACAGGCAGGAGTATTCAACAGATAGTCCAAAAATGTTCCTTTTTTTAAGCCAGCCTTTATGTACAGTGAATGTGTGGTATTTTACTAAGTAGAGCAGTTTTGTTAAAATGTAATTAAACATTTATTTCACTATTGATTGAATAATGTCCTTTAATGTTATTGTGGTGCTTAGGTTACTTCAGATCCTTTAAATGTGAGAACTTAACTCTTAGTTCCAGGTTCAATTTTGCTTCCATCTTTTTGTACTGTGAGACTCTCCAGTAGAGCAGAATCTCCTACAAAAATGTAATTTATATAGTGTCTTTTCCACTTTAAAAATCTTGGTGCCACCACATCTGTAGGTACAGAGGTATTAAAATATTATGAAGTTTAATATTAAAATGAATGAATTAACTACAATAGGCCTACCATAATGAAACTGGAATGTAAAAATATGCCTCCTACTTCCCTCATGAAGCAGTTTGAAAGTGTCTGATGACTCAACATGATCAATGCGTTGGTGAGTGAGAATTAAAAGGAGGTTTTAGGCTTGGTAAAGCTGGTGCCCTAAGTGCCTAAGTGAAGCATAGTAACGACATCTCTTCTTGTGGTTGATTTTTAGGCAGCAATTGTGGTGGTATTCAACTTTGCTATGGTTCTGCTGATTTTTCCTGCTATCCTGAGCATGGACCTTTATCGTCGGGAAGACAGGAGGTTGGATATATTCTGCTGTTTTACAAGGTAAGAATATGCGATAGAATTGCAGTATATGAGCTACATCACTTCTGTGGTCACCAGCAGTGCTACCACCCCTTCTCAGGCATGAGAGGTCTTCATTGCAGCAAGACAGCAGCAGGGTCAGTATGTTATTGTCATAGTCTTACTGCTAGAGACTAAATTACATTTGCTACCTTGTTTTTTGCCTGAATGAAGCGAAAAGTGAAAATATTTCTCTCTCTTTCTCTCTCACCCGCCCACACCCTTTCCCTTCATTCATATGCATATTTATTTTAACCATTGGAAGACAACTTTCTGGAAGCACATATGACATCCATGCTTCAGTAAGGACTATAAGTATTTTTAGAGTTTTGTGGTGTACTGCAAGATGTTCATTGCGGGTATTGGGTAACATTGGAAGACTTGATTCCAGTCTCTTGAGGAAGAATAAATAACTTGGGATACGCAGAAGCCTTAAGTATACTTAAACACTGTGTGTTGATTTTTATGCTTTTTAAGCGTTGAAACTTAAATACATAAAAATAATATACAGACTACAGAAATGACTTCCCTTTAACCTAGTTTTTCAGAGAACTGTGGGGAATTCTGGATGCTTAATACCACTCTAGGACAGCGCTTGGTAAAGCTTCTGTTACAGCCCCAATATTAGCGGAGATGCACGCTGTAACATGCATGCTCTTACCTAATACAGCTCTGTTGTAGGCCAGCTCTGAGGGCAGATTTATCCTAGGAGGAGGCTACTGTCGTCAGTGGAGCTACTACTTAAGAGATCAAGTATGTTTTCTGAAGCTACATTTCTACGCATGCGCTCTCACATACGTGTCATAACCAGGATGTAGAGAAAGCTCCTTGAGTCCTCTTAGCCTTTCATATCCACTTAGAAGCAGATATAGTTTGAGCTTTTTAACTTCAAAGTCAAAGAGAGAAAATGCTTTCCTAAATTTGTTTTTGAAGGGGTGGTTAGAGCAGGGGGTTGATCACAAACCAGGACTCCTGCTTTCTATCTCTTATTCAGCCACAGTTTCACTGGCTGGGTTTTTTGTGCATGAATTTTTGGAGCCCTGATTCTCAGAAGTGTAAGGCAGTCAGACCTTCCATTTATTCCCCCATCTTAAGTTGCACCAAATGTGATTCAGAATTTGGGCCCATGTACGTATGAATGAATTCAGTTAATGAGAGTTTTCTTTGTTTAGGTAGGCAACATTCTGAATTCCTCTTTTCTGTAGCATTTGCTGACTTGGTGAAAAAATCTCTGATACTGTTTTCTATTGTCCCTTTGTTGCTTCTTATATACAGAAGGGGGCTTGCTTCTGATAACTCTTTAAAATAAATTGGATCTCTGTTACGCTTTGGAGTAGACTACAAGAAGGGAATGCTTGGAAGAAATACTTCTGTAATTTTGTCTCTATGTTGCTTGTCCTTCCTGGGAATTAATCCTTGCATATGTTTATTTCATTTTTAAAACATGCAGTCAGTGTATGGCAAGTGATTTCAGCCTGTCTCCCAAAAGCCTGAGATGTTATCCAGAAGGCCCAAATATTATTTAACAGTTACTTTAATAGTTCTAAACAGAAGAACTCAGGATGTCATGTGTTTACATTTTGATCTTCTAAATAGTTTAATCCTCAGTAGGGTCATGTGGATGCAGACTTGTACACCTATAGTGCATTCAGACTGTATGTGATTATCTGGCTGTTGACCTGATTAGTGTGTGTAATTAATGGAGCAATGTGAGGTGGATGCCAGTGTCTTCAGACAAATGCCGGTTCCTTCTATCTTGGGCACAAGAAATGTGTATATTCTCAGGGACCTTCACTTTGAGCCATGTCTAAGAAATATTTCCTGAAAGTGCAGAGTGAAATCCACATCAAAACATTATGCTTAATTAGCATAAACCAATAATAGTAGAAGCAGGCTCAGACTGAAGAAGATTATTCTATCTAGCCTAATTAAAATAAGGACCTATCTAAATATGAACGGATGTTTTTCTCTCCTCTTGCAGTCCATGTGCCACTAGAGTGATTCAGATTGAGCCTCAAGCATATGCAGAAAACAATGATAATACTTGCTACAGTCCTCCACCCCCATACAGCAGTCACAGTTTTGCACATGAAACTCGGATTACAATGCAGTCTACAGTGCAGTTGCGCACAGAATATGATCCTCATACGCAGGTGTACTACACCACAGCAGAGCCTCGCTCAGAAATATCTGTGCAGCCAGTGACAGTAACACAAGATAATCTCAGCTGCCAGAGCCCAGAAAGCACAAGCTCGACGAGGGATTTGCTTTCCCAATTCTCAGACTCCAGTATGCACTGCCTTGACCCACCCTGTACTAAATGGACACTCTCATCTTTTGCAGAAAAGCATTATGCTCCGTTCCTGCTAAAACCAAAAGCTAAGGTAACCAGAAAACTATTACCTGTTTTTCAGAAATAGACTTCTTCCTTGCCCGATAGGAAAGTTATCCTGATGATAGTATTAAGTATAAGGAATAAATAGAACACTTTTGGAATAGCAGTTCTTCATAATTTTACAGTTAATTTCATGATTTAAAACTTTTATCTTGTTGTAGAGATACACTTTTCAAATGTAAGTTAGGAGTGGGGGGAGTTCAATAACTTTCAGTAGCATAAGCTCATGAACTGAAACTAAAGCTACTTTTAAACTTTATTACCATATAAGTTTCCTAACTATGATCTAGCACCCCTTTACCATAACACAAATTAGTTTGGGTTTGTAGAGTGTGTATGCATGTGTGTGTGCACGTGCGTGCCTATATATACGTGTGTGTGTGTGTGTGTGTGTGTGTGTGTGTATGTATAAATAAAAAAGCTTAAAATTACAGTGTTGTGTGCTAATTTTGAATCTGATCCTGTAGTGTGCCATTATGACTTGTTAGTTTCTTTAGAAACATAAAACAAAATGCATTTCCATTTTCTGTTGCAGATTGTGGTTATTTTTCTTTTTCTGGGTTTACTTGGGCTCAGCCTTTATGGAACTACCCGGGTGAGAGATGGACTGGATCTCACAGACATTGTACCACGGGAAACCCGGGAATATGATTTTATTGCTGCACAGTTCAAGTACTTCTCTTTCTACAACATGTATATAGTGACACAGAAAGCAGACTATCCCAATATCCAGCACTTACTTTATGAACTTCACAAAAGTTTCAGCAATGTGACATACGTTTTGCTGGAAGAGGATAAGCATCTTCCCAAAATGTGGTTGCACTACTTTCGAGACTGGCTGCAAGGTAAGAGAGAATTGCATGACCTTTTCTTACTTTAATTCTATAGTAGCAAGCAGCTGTTTTCTGTAGTAATGCCCTCCTCTTACGATAGAGTCACACAATCAAAGCCTGCTAGCAGCAGGGAGAATGCCTAGGTGCTGATCCAAACTCTAACATCAACTCGCTGTTTCTCCAACAGTTTGCTTGAATTCTTTGTGGTTAAGTTTACTCACCAATAAAACGGTTTTGAAGCTTTAAAAAGATTATGTGCATGAGATGCCATCTCATGTTATTAATTTCTACGTAGCTAATGAGGAGTTCTGCTTTATAATTAATGGCCAAATATGGCCCAGCGTCTTGGGAAAATAAAGGTTTGCTGGGTGTTTTGAGAGCAGTAAATGAGAAGCCCGAGTCCAGCAATGTATTTTGGCACAGGCTTAACTTTCAGCACATGAGCGATCCTGTTGGCTTCAGCTGGGACTGTTGGCATGACAAAAATTCAGTGTCGCTTAGGCTTTTTATTGGATTGGGAGCTTACTACACATTCTAGATTTCCAGTCAAGTATCCTTACGCTTTCTGTGGTACTGTTTTATCTGTGCTGAACTGTAACTGAGGGGAGGGGATGTTATAGGTAGTCTGATGATAAAGTGGGTTTATTAAAGTCATGCTATTATAATTATTCACACTGAGGCAAATAATTGTTTTGTATATCAAATAAATAACAATGTTTCATCTCAGGAAGTTTAGCAGTCTCTGTTGTGAAACACATTCTGCCCAGAAATACTTCTGTTTTACCTCTGTCTTTCTGTTGGAAGAATCTCCAGGAAGCTTTTGCCAACAGAAAAATAATTTGTGCTGACCTACTGAGACCGTAAATTTTAACTTTTAACTGTTTACAGGCGGCTGATGCAGCCAATGATTCTTAGAAAACATCTACATAATTGTTAGTATTTTGGGTATTTTCTTCTTCTGAAAATATGTTGGGCAGTAATAGGAAAGCTGAGGCCACCGAGTGACATGCATAATAAATAAAATGATCAAGTTTCCTGTGTATTTAATGTACTGATAAATCAACCAGAGCAGGATTTCAGTCAGTAGTTTTTTTATGATTTTCAAATATATTGGATCCATTCATTACATTCATCTTACTGGAAGTTTTCCTTAAAATATATTGCTCACATAAGCATATTTAGCTGTAAGAGAAGGCAATGCAGGGAGAAAATGCAGCATACCTTAGATGTTTTACTTGACTGGAACCTTACTACACTCAGATTTCTGAGCAAGCATCTTCATGCATCCTACAGGGCTTCTCCAGATCTTCTTGTAACATTAGTGTCTTATTGATTCTCCTTTTTTTGGGAAATTTTTACCAAAACAATGGGGAGAAATGCAGTAGACTGTGGGGTGTTTGTCCATCCCATCCCCGACCCCACACCAATACAGAACTGTAAAGTAGATAGAAATCTGCCAGTCACTAACTCGAGGAGAGCTTGTTTATCGTGGGAGCGAGTTCAGTGTTTTCACATATGAGTGCTCACCCTCAGCAGTGCAGTTTCCAGTGATAAAGGCAGAAAGAGGCAGTGTTGGATCTATTTTGCTACTGGTTTCTCCCATTAAAATGCTGGAGATTAGCCCCTTTGGCGTTTTTTGAGGCCATAGAGCCTCCCAGGGGTGTTTGCATTCCCCTTTCTCCTCTTGCAAGGCCTACCACACACCTCCCTCAGCTCTTCCGCTTCAGACACCTCCTATTCTGCCTGTAATCCCCTCCTTGTGCCGAGGACTGTCCGTGCGGCCCTCCACCCAGTGTCAGGGGCCTTCACATCTCCTCATTCCCTATGCAGTATGGACATGCTCATGCAGGAGCTATCCTAGAACTGCACTTGTCCCATGTTTTGGAGGTGTTTCTTTTCTCTTCTTAACACCCATGATTATATTTCCCCTTCCATGCCTCTGTTAGCCTGCCTGTTCTTCTTCTTTATCTTCTGCTGTCCTTCCACAAAAGGAGCTGTGTATATTGCTAGTGCTCTTGGGTGCACTGAGGGAATGTGTGGAGCTAACATGTTATACTGAGACCTTAAGGGACACCCTTAGGAAATGGTGACTAGCGGTGATTCAAGTGAATGTCCAGTCCTATAACAGAACCAGTAATTTTTGCCCATCAATTAACCTCAAGTTCAGAATTAATAATTACAATTAGTACGAAGCATTTAGGTCTGTGTCCGTGACACCCTTCCCCTTGCCCCCTCCCACCCCCCGCTTACCAGAGTGGCACAATTAATACAAAACAGCTGCTTTGTAAAGACACAGGACCATCTTTACAGAGTTTTATACTGAATTTACAACACGGAAGGAAAAGGATATTTTATCAATAGAAAGAAGGTATGTTTTAAAATGTTACAAGGACTTAATGTAATAAGGGGAACTAAACTATTTCAGTAAAAGCTGTCACATTTGTCATAGTTATGGGATTATGTGAAGGTGCAGGCAGTAATAAAGAGTAATACCTCTGGCCATTACTAACTGGGATTGATCCTGAGGGAATAGATCGGAGGGAAGGTGAAAATAGAATTTACAAACAAGGGACAGTTTCAGAGTGAATCCAGGGAAAATCCTGGATGAGCATAGGAACGGTTATGTTAGTGCATTTTCGCATGCTGGAGAGAGCAGGATAGTCCAAGTAAGGGTAACTGTTTTAACTTCATGGCTAATTCCCACCGACTTCACTGGGAATTCAGTGCTAGAGATTAATGGCTCAAGATGGCCTTCTGACACCTCCGCATTTGTCTGGCAGAATACAGGACGGATTGGAAGGAAGCAATAGCATGTGAACAAAAAGCATTTTTTATCAAGACAGCATGCTTGGTCTTAGCCACACATTTCCACTGGTTTACTTGCAGTGGAGTGCCTTCAGACTAACACACCTCTGTTTTCAAAGTTTACCTTGTATTTTGCTTCTCAGTAACAAATTATGTTAATATATTTTCTGCTATCTGAAAATGCAATAGAAGAGAGTTAATACTTGTCATTGATTTAAACTGGAAATGTTAACATTTTTTTTGTAGGTAACTAAATGTAAATGAGGTAGCTTGAATTCCCTGATGGCTTGTAATTAGGCTTGTTTTTGCAAAGAGTACTCTTATCTCAAGTGCATGGTGCCAGCTGTTCATATGAGTGAGAAGGAATTTCTTCATCACCCCCATTCCAGCATCCTACATAACCTTGGAGGATTTCACTTTCTTCTGAAGTATCAAGCAAGAGTCACTACTGGGTGTTTTTAAAAATTGCCTTAATTTGTGTAACTTTTATGCAGGAAGGGGTGGACAAGTTACTTTTATCTTTCTGCCCAGAAACATTTCATTTATCTCAGTTATCTTTAAAATAGATAAAATGCATTAAAATCCTTGATGTGAACAATTTATAATAAAAACACTGTTCACTTTGAAATCAGCGGCTCTGCAATTAATTTCAAAGTGTTATGGGAAATTCTTATTACTGAAATGTTGAAATCCTCTAGAATTTAAGCATAGCTGATGGTGGTTTCTTGGTATTCCTTCCAGTCTTTCAGTTTTAGCTGAAAGAATATACAAGCTCGCTAACCATTTTACAATTCAGGTCATTTTATTAAGCGAGCTGAGAAATAAAGATAAAAAAGGGAGCTGGATTTGAGGAATGATCAAAGTTGTAAGGACTAGAGCACATGTTAGGGTGGGGGCAGTGAAAGAGCTCAGTCACTACCCACCACAGTAATGTGAAATGTATATATCATTTTTTAACGTAATTTGCAAACACAAATTGGTAATGTTGTCTGCAAATGTTCCCAAGACAGGAATTGGATATTAGACTGAAAGTTCTGTCCCTAAATATTGTCTAACATAGCAACTTGTGAGGTCCTCTTAGTAAAGAAAGCTGTTTTTATTGTGACTATTGTGACTTAAAAGTTAAGCTGTTCTTTGGTGGTCTCTCCTTCTTTCCCACATTTTTCTTCAACAGACTCCTCTTGACTCCCAACGTGACCTTTTACGTGACTATTATGGATAGTACAAATGCTCTCACATAGCCACTTTCACAAAGGCTGAAACAGAACAAAACTGTCTTCAGGAGCGACAGATTTGTATTTTTGCACTTCTTCAGTTGTTTTCTCCACACCAGGGCCCCAACAAACAGCGCTTTCTTAAAAGGAGCTTTAAAATTCCTTCAAGGTTGTCAGAAAATCTAGCGTTAAATTGTCCGCTTTTTGGGCAGGTATGTGGCAGGTTTGGCAGGCTTATTTCACTGCTTTGTTCCTAACCTGCTGGCTTTCCGAGCAGGTGCAATTTTGTTAGGATGACATGGGAGGCAGTTTTCTAATGGTAGGGGGAAGAGTTTATAAACGGGAATGAGCGCTGAGGCCCTGAAGCAGTGTCAGTCAGGCCGTGTTTTCTCTTCCAACACTCCTATCTCCTTACAGCTGTAGCTAACCTATCAGAGCTGTAATGATGGTTTTCATTACAGCTCCTTGGTGCAGCTGTGAGGTGGGTCGGTGATTTCCACCACCACCAGCACCCCCCGGCCTTTTCCTTCCTTTCCCTGGACATGCGGTTTGTCATCTGTTCGCACAGAGCCTCCTTGTGCTGGACTGCGGCTTCCTGTGCTAAATCTGATCCAAATTTGCACTGTGAGGTATTCCCTCCCCCTTAAAGGGTGGCAAAGAGGAAAATAACAGTTGAGAGTGAATAGGTGTTGGCTGTGATCTTTACACGTGCTGGCAGCAGATCCCACGACTTGTATTAGCTGCACAAGTTGAACAGATGGAACAAATTGTCAAAATCGTGTTCACTCACGCTGTGTTTGAAAAGCAGCTGAGTTTGCTGTTTGAAGTTGGAAGTTGGAGTGTGTTTTTTTTTTCCCTGCTTGTAGTGGAATTTCTGGTTATATCATAGATGCTGCCACCTCAATGCTCTGCGGTAGCCCAAGACAGTTAATGAGAGTGGTGTGTGTCCTCTTCTGTGGCCTAATGTGCTTGGCCAGGATTTGAGGGGTGAGGGGAGTGTGGGGAGGGTTTCTCTTTTGGGTAATGGACGAAGTCTCTCCCTGGTTTTAACTCTACAGTAGGCAATGATGTTAGATCAGGTCTGAACTCAACCCTTTCTGTTTTGCACCACCCGTGTCAGGGTGAGACTTCATCTTTGTTTGGGAAGGAGATACATGAAAGAGGTGATAAATGCAAAAATGACTGTAGATTTTGAGTATGATCATTCTGGAGTTGTAGTTCATGAGGAAAAATACTTTTTTCTTTTAGATGTCTTTGACTCTTCCTTGCATGAAGTGTACAAGCAGAGTGCTAGGTTGCTCTCTCACATCCAGCCTTGTCCTGAGGCAGTGATGTGGCTATGCCAACTCAGGAAAGGCTCTGAGAAGGGCAGCCGACCTGAGAGTCCTAATCTCATCTGCACAGTCTCCTTTGCCATGAGAGGAAGCAAGTTATTCCAGTGCATCTGTCTTTTGCTAGCTCTCCTTTTCTAGTCAGCTTAGCATGGAAAGAATCTTGACTCTCCTCCCTTGAACCTTCCTGCTTCTCCTGCCTTTCCCTGGGGGAAGTGCTGGACATGCAGCTGGTAATTTTATCTTCCAGCATGCTGACTGTGAGATGGGGAGAGCAAATGGAGGATGCATAGTTTTCTCCCTGCTTCAGCTGTAGAAGGTCACATTTAATATTAAAAAGAATCGTTATTACTGTTTCTTCTGCTGAAAATTATTTTAAAGATCAGTTTCTTATGTGCATCTGTTATCTTCCCCATGCCTCTCTTAACTCTTCAGGACTTCAGGATGCATTTGACAGCGACTGGGAAACTGGGAAAATCACTTACAACAGTTATAAAAATGGATCTGACGATGCTGTTTTGGCTTACAAACTCTTGGTGCAAACTGGCAACCCAGCAAAGCCCATTGACATCAGCCAGGTACTGTATCAGAGTCCACACTGGTTTATACAGGAATTCATCAGGAGTGGGAGGAGCTGCAAAGAGCACGTCAGCGTCTTTTTTTGGTGAATGCCTGAGTTATACTTAACGGCACGGCCGCATGGGCTTCACTAGAGCTATATGTTTGCTGCAGTCTGGCCTGCATTGCGAAGTGTTCAAAATCAGCACTGGGAATGCTTGTCTGTGGTCATTACTGACTGGCCTGTGTTAAATGCTGCTCCTGTCCTATCCACACTCAATTTCCACTGAAGTTGCTGTGAAAGGTGCTCCTCTGCATCCACGTATAGATGGAGCCTGGTCCTATACCAGACATGCAGCTACCTGTTAGCCTTGTTGCCCTAAGTGGCATTACTCCTGATTTGAAATAGGTTTGCTTATGGGATTCACTTTAGCTCAGCCTTCTGCTGTGACTTTGAATCTAGCATTTGCAATTCTTTAGTTAGTTCCTGTCAATTTATTCCAAACACACCTTTTAAATAAAGGTGTTTATGAATGATAGTGAACAAAAGGCGGCTGAAGTACTTATGTGCTTTGTAATGTTATGTTGTCATTACTAGTCATGGATATACTGTAGCAGAACTGAGAATGGCGGTTTGTTGAGCTGCCTAAGTAAAATACATCTGAGCTTCTTTCATAGGGTTATCACATCATAAGACTATTTGCTGCTTTTTATTATCATATTGGAAGGTGAAACACACAGTTTTTGACTCCTTAAGCTAGAATTAGGTTTTAAACCTCTAAGAAAAATTCTGCAATAACCTAGCTTCTTCCATCCTTGAATCATCATTGACTCTTTGTGCTTTCAGAAAGTAGTCTCTCTAATGAGCTTCTTGGTAGATCTGCTTACTATCTTTCTTCTTTTTCTGGCATTAAAGGTGACAGATTTACAGAGTACATTGTTTGCAGTTACTATGGCATGTTAAACACATTGCTATATGGCATCATGTGGCATGCTGTCAAGTCTGAATGACGCTTCACCTATGAATTAAGCAAAGGAAGGGAGGCAAAGTGAAAACTCTTTGGTGAGGTTTTGTTTAGCAGTGTGTACCAGGTACACTGTGGAACAAATGTGATTGGGCTACAGCTGCTGATATAATTTCCTGTGTCTGGGAGGGAGAAAAGTATTGTACGCCCACAGGGGCTGAGCACTGTACTAGGCAATTCCAAAGACAGCTTGAAGACATACAGTTGTTGCATATCCTGTGGATTAATTGAATCCAGATCCTTGGAATCTAGGGTGTTTTTTTTTTTTAACTGCTGTCACTGTTGTTTTTCATTTCATTAAAAAGACCTGAAACTGGAACCAAGCCAGAATTTTCAGAATTTTAAATAAACAAAACAAAAAAAAAAGGGTAACACTTTTCATCCACAGAGTCCTCTGTCAGGGCTCTAGCTGTGCGGTATTTGGCTACAGAACCCTAGAAGTGCACCACTGCTGTTTACCCCACAGATGCGTTTGCCCATGGCGACCCAAGGAACACAGTGCACTCATCTGCTTTCTTGGCGCTGGACATTTTCTGAATACATAGGTCATAGGAGGCAAGTGTTAGCCAAATTTATACAGATGTTGTTTTATTTTTATAGCTCTCCTCCATTTACTGGGTGGCATTTCCTTCAGTGTTAACAACAGAGGTTAACTGCACACAGACATGTGTAGGGACTCTTGCCAGGTTTTTTTCTCCTTTCTTTAAATATGTTTCTCCAACTTGGTTGTTTTTCACTCTTGGCTGCAGACAGTCTTTCAGAATTCAGATTTAATTGGTTCAGTCTATTCTGGAACCATCTGCTGATTTAGTTGTTATTATAAATATTATATAAATATTTATTTATAAATAAAGACTTTCCACTTATACTGTAGTTTAAATTTTTTTTCATTGTCAAACAGTAGTTTTCTGATAAGTCATTTCAAGCGGAAGTTCATACTGTTTTTTTTGTCCTGTATGTGTGTCACATCTCCAGGCTTTTTGTTGTAAGCTTTGCAGCAAGGGCCCTGAAAACAAAGCTCATTTTGAAAGGCTTCTAATCTTTCCATTTTGCAGTTGACTAAACAGCGTCTGGTGGACGCAGATGGAATCATTAACCCGAATGCTTTCTACATCTACCTGACAGCCTGGGTTAGCAATGACCCTGTGGCCTATGCTGCCTCACAAGCCAACATCCGGCCTCACTGCCCCGAATGGGTCCATGACAAAGCAGACTATATGCCAGAAACAAGGCTGAGAAGTAAGTAACATTTCATCTTAATGTCTTACAGTTTATGTAAGTGCCCCACTCCTTCCTTCAAGACCCAGTAACTCTGTAGTTGGTTGAGGCTGCACAGGGCTCCAAAGCGTAAACAGAACAATATATTGTGTTACTCCCTAGCCTCAGGAGACAGATGGTATTGTGGAATACGGTATAATGTGGCAGCACTGCAGACTTTTCTCATGTTGAAAAATGAGTTTTATAACAGTTCCTAGCAAAACTCTAAAAACTTGTACTAGACATTGCTCTTTTGTGTGACCTGTTGGTTCCGCATGTGAGAGATTGCATGAAATTCCTGCCTGTGTCGTTCTGGAATTTCATCACTGAGACTATATCATATTTATCCTCAATTTGTAATACACAAGGATTTTTTTATTGAGTTAGCTCATATGTATAAGCCACCACCTCTGATACGGTGCAGGAGGTATTTAGGTAGGGGAACAGTCTGTGTAAGTGGTTGTTCTCCCTCCGTCCCTCCCATCCTGTGCCGTTAATGGCTTTGTATCCTGAGCAGTAATGGCAATTGACAGTGCTGTTCTACGGCTTTGGATTTCCTGGGAGGATTGCTAGTTGGACACTGGTGAGGAAGGGGAGAGGGCATGTGGGAGAGGACTGCTGTTGGAAATGCGATTGGGTAACAAGCTAGTTTTGCTTCAGTGTATCCGAACCCTAGAGCTTTGTGGCAGTCAGCCAAGTCTTGTCTTAGAGAAAATTTATAGTTGAGATTATAATAGGGCAAATCATGTTTAGCAAGTCAACTGAATGACCCTGCAGGGTCTGGAACACACAACGACAGTAACAAAATGCTTTTTCTCTTTTCTATTTCTTTTTTTTTTGTTTTGTGGTACAGTAGACTTAGCGTTACACTCAAAAAGGAGCATGGGGAGTTTACGTTTGTCAGATTATTGAAGGATAAAAATAAAACTATTAGTTTTATATTATTCCCCCCCCCCCCACCCCCTCTTTCTTAATACAGAAAAGAGCTGAACCTGGCTTTAAAAATATTTAGTGGAAATCTTAACCAACAGGCCCAATTCAACATCATTTTTCTCTGGTTTTGTATCAGTGGACCATGACTGATCTTAGGGGAATGACCTTTGATTTCAAAGCAACTACACCTGCATAAAACCAAAGATCATTTGGATAAAATGTTTAAGAAGATTTCTCTTTTAGATTGCAGATAGGGACTTTGGACCAGGTATTCAGTAAAAAGCACTTACAGCACAGATGAACATTATATACATATTTAAGTATCTCTAGTTGTTAAATTGTTTGAGGACTTGATATAGAATGTGTTCATCCCATTGCCCTGCATGATAAAATAGAGTCATGTCCTGTACTGAAAGTTTCTAGCATGTTAGTTGTTCCAAAGATGTAAAATTTAAATTCAATGCCTTTTAAGCGTTTTGCTGTGAAGAACAAAATGTTTTCCTAATCATGCTCTGCGTATCTCCTTCTTCCCAAACATGCATTTAAACAATGCTATCTTTTTCCTAGTTCCAGCAGCTGAGCCCATAGAATATGCTCAGTTTCCTTTCTACCTCAATGGATTGCGTGAAACTTCTGACTTTGTGGAAGCTATTGAGAAAGTGAGAGCTATCTGTAATAACTACAGCAGCCTGGGGATTGCCAGCTACCCAAACGGTTACCCATTTCTATTTTGGGAGCAGTATATTGGACTTCGTCACTGGCTCCTCTTATCCATTAGTGTGGTTTTGGCTTGCACGTTTCTGGTGTGTGCCCTCTTCCTCTTGAACCCCTGGACGGCTGGGATCATTGTAAGTTTATTATAAGGGTCTTTGTTGAAGTCAAATTCCTTTCAGCCTAGCTCTTGCTGTAGTCGGGAAGGTTTTGTTTATGTCTGGGCCTCTGGTGGAGTGTGTATATTGCATCATTCATTATATATTTATTCAACTTGAGGGGTAGGGTTCATGCTAAAGGTACAAACCCTAATAACCTTAATCCTTTGGCCACCTTTTTGTAGCTTTAAAGGTTTCTTATAAAGGCATATAAACTTTTGCCCTTGCTCAGATGCACATTAACATGAGAAATAAAGACACAGAGGAAAATTAGGAGCTTTATTAAATATTACAGCTCTATCTATTTAGTTTTGCCCTCCCCCTTTTATCAAAGAATGGTATTTTTCAAGTCAGCTTGTGACTAACTTAAACTTGCCCACTGATTTCAGATCGTGAGCTTTTTGGAAAGACCGAAGTGGTTGCACACTGTGAAAAAACTGTAACTGGGCTATTGAGGAGAAAGAGCCATAAAATTATAAATTGAAGAGAATACTCCTCCGTGCTTTCTGCTAGGCACCATGAGTCTCACAGTAAACATTCAAGTTAAATTGAATGATGATGTTCCTGTGTTTAAATTCCATAAACTATCGTATGGTTTATAAAATGCCAGAAGTAGGAAAGTGTGGAACAGTTACTAGTTTTTGTAATGTACATTTATACGACAGGTATGCTAAAAGGTAAATGTTTAGTCTAGAATATTTTTCATAGCACTTAATCAAGCAATTTATGTTGTTATTCTTGATTCATTAGCTTATAAAATAATTTATTGTAGTGCATACTTTTTTCCCTTGGAAAAGGGGTTTATTTTCAGAGTCCACCATCACTTTTACAAGTATGTCTATCTTTTTTCCTGCTTGGCTTTAGAAACTTTTAAGTTGATTCCACAGATTTATTTCTTTCCCTTTTCCTCGCTTTTTTTACAAGTTAGATAAAAGAAAAAATAAAACATTTCCCTTAGATTAAGCTGCTTGCTTTGTCCATGTCAATACCTCCAAGTATCTTTAAAGCTAAAAGACCCTCTGTAACCTGAAACTCATCACGGCATTCACTTTCTTTTGGGTTTTAAACCTGCTCTGGAGTTATCCACACTTAATTTGGAGTACTCCAAAAATAATTCCTATGCAGTATTTGAAAGTTAGTTTTTCTAGAAGGATTGTCAGAGAAACAGGTGAAAAAGAGGAAATTTATTCCCAGTGGATATCCAGGAGAAGGAGGAATAAATTATTTCTTAGATCACATTGATAAATTGTCACTGACAGAAAATTGATGCTTGATCTGTTAACTGGTTATTGGGAGAGTAATTTAAACTGCCTTTTTAGAGGGTCATTGCCATTGAACACAATGAAAAAAGGAAGTGGCCTGTTTTTGGGGATATGAGAGAGACTGCTTTGAAGGATATGTTTTATAGCCCCGTGTTGTTTTGAAATATCTTTCCTCTTCATTTATCTAGAATATGAGAAGTTACTAACAGCTGTTTGAAATCATCTAGGTGGTGGTGCTGGCTCTCATGACTGTGGAGCTGTTTGGCATGATGGGTCTAATTGGAATAAAGCTGAGTGCAGTGCCTGTGGTTATCCTGATTGCTTCTGTTGGCATTGGTGTGGAATTCACTGTTCATGTTGCTTTGGTATGTACAGCTAGGAAGCATTTTCAAAGTATTTTAAAATAAAATGATGACTAATGTTATGATCACAAATCCTTACTTAGACTCCTAAGTCAGTGACATGATTCTCAGAAAAGATCGGTCATAAACCTTGCACGAAGTTTTGTCTACCATTTGGACTGTCTTGGTAGAGCACAGTTGATCTGCTGAAATAGTTCCTAACCATTGGGTCAGTCTCCCAGGAGATAAGAAGAGGGAATACATTACAGTATTTTAGTATTTAATGATGTTATTTGAAGGCTGTGATTAAGATCATATGTGAATATGTGATATATTGTTGCATAAGCCATACAAATGCATAGACAAAGCAGAGTGCTTAGCACTGTTTATTGTAGTCTAGACTTTTCCCGCTTATTATCTGCAGCCTCGCTGCTGTTGCCTCTCAGTGCTTTGTAGCTCTTTGTGCCCACTTGTATTTTGATTCTGTCTTTTGGTGAAGAAGCCTTTGAAGGGAGATTTTTGAAATCACATCTCATTTAATCTCTGTGGACCTCTGAAATTTGAATGATTTGGTTTCTTCACATTAAAAATCTCCACCTTCTTTCCAGAGCCCATCGACTATTAGTAACGGGCTCAAATATGTGATCTTTAGGGAAGGAGTTCTTCAGTGTTACAAGGGGGGTGGGAGGAATGTTTTATGTAAGTGCTTTCAACGTTGTCAGACTTAGATGTCCAAATCTAGGGTGCACCAAATCAGCTTAGTCAGCCTGATGTACATAAGTGTGGAACAACGACACCTCTCTTGCAAGGCGGTGCTCAAGACATGCAAAACTCATCCCACTTTATTTAATGATAAAGAGTGGAGTAAAGGGCTATTTTTCTGTGTTCATATTTGACAGTGGTAATGTTGATCTTGCATATCCTAAGGATAAGCTTAGACAAAGGACAAAGGCCCATTTTCTATTTCTCAAAATGCCGATGAAGCAATTTTGACAGTAAGTTGGAGTTCTTAAATCTTTTCTTAGAATTTGGGGAATTTAAGAAATTAAATGCTTATATACTATGAACGAAAAGCTACCCATACTTTAAAACATTTTCCTTTTATCTGTTTTTAGCTGTGGTAGGTCTCAAAACTTGCTTGGCATTACATACATAGGAGGCTGTCCACACACTCAGCATAAGTCACTTTCCCGTAAGACTACTCTGAACCCATTTTTCAGAAGAACATTATTTTAATGATATTGTTTTCTTCATGGATTTGAATTTTAACTGTATTAAAAAGTAGGAAAGGATGAGTCGGATCAATATATCATTGTCATCTCAGGAAAGGGATGCTTGCAGCTTACTGTAATCTCTATTATGTTTGTACCATAGCAATCCAAAAAGAAGTGAAAGGAGGCAGCTGTAAAATGGTGGCAAGAGATGGAGAGAAATAGATGAGGATTTAATGGGCCATTTAGACTCAATAGGAAGACCTTGTAGATTGCTGAGAGGATCTGGTGGCAATGAAAAGGAGATGAACTAAGGAGGATCTTAGTACAGTGGAGACTGCCAAATATTGGGAACATGTTGCAGATGAAATACACAGTTGGGGCCCATCAAGTGGCAGGATATAAAGGGTAATTAAAAACAAAATCTTAGGGAAAGTAGGATAGGATTAAAAAAGAGCAGCTGGATGGCTCAAGTGGTGACCCTATTTCCCCTATTGCTGTGCGTAGTTAGATTTTTGGAGGTAAACCTGTTTGTTAAGGCTTGCGATCGCTTGGGTAGTGTCAGAGATCAGCTGCACAAGAATTTCTTAGAAGTTTTACCAATAAGTTTTTTTTTTTTTTTAAGTCTTTACCAAGATTTAAAAAAGAAAATTGGAATAAAGAAATACAAAGCACTTACATTCTATAGGTAGAAACCGATCTAATTTACAGATTTTTTTTTTTTAAGATATATAAAAAAGCCCTATGGCTTAAGTTAAAATGCCAACCAAGCTTGAAATCAAATTTTTTTCATGTTAACGTGAGTCTAAATCTTTCAAAAGTAGGCTTTAAAATGGAGAGAAAAAAAGGCCTAGTATACCTCAGATGATAGGAGCACCACTGAACGATGCGTTCTTATAACGTACTGAATATAAATAATCAAACCAGTGTTGCAGAAACAAAATATGCTATGCTGACACTGTTCGTACAGAACTTAATTGAAATGTTTAAGACAAATTAACAATCCACTCGTGGCTCAGTTCTCCGCTCCCACTTGTAAGTTGTGACCTCATTTTTTTTTAATTCCTGCAAATAAATTTTTTGAATCAACAGTGGACTCATTGTATTATGTATCCTTTGAATACACACATATACATATGCAGTGTATATAACTTGTTAATAGTTTGTGGATCAGATTCCCACCACTCTCATTCATATGAGTTGTCTCATCAGCAGCTGCCTTTACCTTGAAGGAGATTCTTTAGTCATTTGTGAATATGAGAATGTAAAATGTGTCCTGGATACATCAGTTTTCCATGCACCACTGTTAATCCACTAGTAAAGATTAATAATACATGTTTCGGCTTCCTACAGAAAGGAGGTTTGGGAATCTCACTCTGCTTGTATGTGCACCCAGTTTTCATCTGCTTGTCTCACCAAATAACTGCTTAATACATTGGCTGATTTCAGCCAAAACTTGTCAAATAAGTGAAAATAAGCTGCCAGAGAAGAGTGACTTAAATCCCATGACCAAGACTAAGATAGCTGCATGAGTTCATTTTTGAATAGGTGCTAGAGAATTCACCTAAGAGAAAGCCATTATAAATCACAGGAGAAATATCAGCCAGGTTCTTGTCGTCTTAAGCTGTAAGTTGGACAACGAGAAGACAGATTCTTAAGAATGAGCACTTTGAGTGTGTTGGTGCAGCTTGTTCACTAAGGTGTAACAAGGAGAGACAGACATTTCACAAGTCATATTACTGCTCAGGCATTACCAAGTTAAGTGCTATTCCTAAGGCAATTTTATGTATAAGGCTGCTAGCTTTTAAGTAGTAAAAGTTGCAAAAACATGCATCTTGAGTGAAATGGAAACAAACCAAAAAAAAAAAAAAAGCAGCACGCAGTCTGGTAGTGTTACTGGTCCTGTTGAATTCACTGGCAACTTTCCATCAGTTGGGTGCTCACAGAGTACAATACCTGATAGTCTGGATCCTCAAGCCTTTGAGCAGAAATGCACTGTATCATTGCAGACTTCTGTATAAAGTAACAGAAAGACTTGATGCACTAGTAAATGCTGTTGTGGATGTGGCTGTGAGTATGCGCAAGGGCTGCAAGTCAATCTGTCATCTAAGTGCATAGGAAAACCAGAATGCATACTGGCTATTTTTACAGCAAACTTGGACAGTGATGGAAGCTGTATTCCCATGAGAGTGGCAAGAGTAGCCTTATAATTTTTACACCTGGAGTGCTTACATTTTGAGTATAAATGAAATTAATTCTTTGCAGGTAGAAAGAAGCAAGCTTGGAAACAGATGAAAAGCCTCCTAATGCAAGCAAGCATCATTTCCAAAATCATTACTATAGCTCTGACTCTAAGTAATGATTACTCTGTTTGTGCAACTTCAGCAGAAGCTATGTCGTATGACTGTGTCATCAGACCTTTTCTTGAAGTTTAGCTAGCTTTAAGGATACTTTAATAACTGTAAATTAGAGTAATTAATCGGTGAAAAACTGTTTATACTATGAGACAGTCTGTCTGAAAGGCTGTGCGTATCTGTCTAATGAAAAGGATGTCATTGTTTTACAGGCATTTTTAACAGCCATAGGAGACAAGAACCATAGGGCTGTCCTTGCACTGGAACATATGTTTGCACCAGTGTTGGATGGAGCTGTGTCCACTCTGCTTGGAGTGCTAATGCTTGCAGGATCGGAGTTTGATTTTATTGTCAGGTAAAGCATTTGTATGTCTTGACTTTCTTTTAAAAATAAAAATAAGTATGCTTTTAATAATTGGTCATTTCAGTTTATCTATCATTTTATTACTATGCATGGTGTCTCAAGCATGCTTACATCATGGTCCTGCTTTCCCTCTGTTTTATTAACTCCTTGTTACATGCTAGAGCTAGTAGTGTTTCCATTGCTGACATTAAAATCTGTTCCAGGAAAATCTGACTTGCAGCATGGAAGGAAACAAAAGTGGCCTTCTTCAGCAAAGTTTGCTAATTCTGGAATTAAGTCAGTTTGGAGCAGCTGGCATTGTCCAGTATTGGCTGGTTTGACCTTTAACCTTAAGGTCCTTCTTACTTATTTTGTGTGGAAAGACCACATGGAGCTACAAATATGCTGCAGCTGACACTCTCTGGGCCTTCTTCTGCTATCTACCTGAGGCTTTTTTAATGAGCAATTTATAAATGGGGGAGAAAAAAAGCCCTTTTGGGGAGCTAGAGAGCCATAAGTATGAACACAGAACTTCATATTAAAATTTTGTAAAGCAAAGCCTGAAGGCCCTTCTATTTAGAACTAAAGGCAGACTGTTTCTTGTGGATTTAATTAAGAATGTGAATTCGTCATGTGTGAGAGGAGAGCAAGTTTTGCTTTTGAGAGGAATATGAGAAGTGCAATGAAATGAATCTTATTGTTCCAAACAACCTGAGGAGCTCTGCAAAATGGCTAATCTCAGAAGCAACACAGGTTCTTTGTGGCAAACTGCAGTACAAAAAAAAAAAAGAAAGAAAAAAAAAATCCAAGCCCTGAAAGAGAATAAGCTGGTAAAACTGGACTGAAAAAAACCGCTCTCAGAGGTGACTTAACTACTTAGGCAGACATAAGCCGGAATAGATGATGAGACTATGAGACTTAGCTGATATCCACTTGACAACAACAACAAAATGTAGAGGTAGGAACTGAGAGAGTGGCTGCTAAATCTCATCAGATTTTTTGTTTATGTGTGTAAGAGGTTTGCAGAAAGCACAGAGTAGGAGGTTTGCAGGTAGGCCTAAATACATTAAATGGGGATTACTACTGTACTTTACAATATCTTTGCATGCCCTGAAATAGAATTTATATTGCCTTCTCAGGTCAGTATATTTTATTTTATTGGTGGTGGGAAAAAAAAAGAAATTGGTGGAATTATTCTTTTATGACTTGATCTTGTAAGGGATGGAACGCTGTAGGTTACTGATAGATTAGCTGTAGATTTAACACATATTTACAGGGGTATATTTGCTGTGGTACTTTCCTATTTAACAGACGAGATTTTGGCAAGCACATTTTTGTGTCATAGCAAATGGAAGTCTGTAGCAGCCGTTCGCTCCAAATTTGGATTGGATGTTCTCTTAGTATATAAAATGAGCCTTTCAACTTCTGTTATTTTACTTTCTTTGCCCATTAGTTTCTCTTTTTCTAGCGCAATCTGACTTTAGTTTGCTGTGTTTAAAAAAATAAAATAAACTTTCAGATCCCAAGCATTGCTATAGTAGGTGAAGAAGCCCCCAAACTTCCGGAAAGGGATAGATTAGTCCAGCGATGTGGAAGATTAAGTAAATTAACAGACATTGTATACACCAAGTGGTCAGAGCTATAATCCTGCTGTTTATCCTAGTGTTAGATGGATGAGATGCAAATGTTTTTAATGCCTGTTGTTGATCTCTGTCCCAGTATAAAGTTTTGGTGGTTTATGTTAGTGGAGTAGATTGGTTCCCTGATTTTTGCTAATGCAGATCAAAAAGCCCAAAATGTTTACATTGGTGGGATATTTGTAGTTTTACAGGAGGCTGACATATTTGATCAGATGTGGAACCATGGAGGCAGTAAAGTTTGCTGCCAGCTACACAATGTAATCAGCAGAGCCATTAGCAGCAAAGTTGCCCTCAGTTCTTCTCCTGCCCCTTCTCCACCAGGAATTTACCCAAGACTGAGTCCTTGAAATCATTAGTTACAAGGCAGCCTTAAGTTTAGTCTGAGCTCCAGCTGTGCCGAATACCAACTACCAAGGCTTTGCTTTTACTGACAGGTTTACCTTGGTATTCATGAAGGATCCCAGACCTTAGCCCTCGATGGTGGGAAAGGACAACCACTTGTGCACTTTCCTCTTCTTCCATAGTACTTCAGCCTTTATGTTTGAATTGGCTGACGCAAAACAAGAGTATTCAGAGATGCTAAATTGTTCAACAAAAGATTAGCCTGCAATGCAGCTCTGCCATTGTGGAGTGCTCTTGCTCAGTACAATGCTCAAGCTCACTATAGAATGGGCAGCATTTTCTTTGCGGAAAGCTGGTTCCTGTGCTGTGAAAAGGTTGCAATTGGAGCTATTTGATAAAACTGGAACTCACAGAATTCTAGGCGGAAAGTTGTGATTAATGAACAGCGAGGGAAAAGCCTTACCTGATACACTAGAGATTTAATTAGAGATTCCGCTGCAAGATGCAGAAGCATTTCACAGTGGATTAGCTGCTGGGAGAAGTGGGCTTCTTTCCTTCTAGGCTAAATTGTTTAAATTCTACACCCTTCACTTCATTTGTTTGCTTCTGCTGGGTTTGCACTAATGGGGGCCCCTTTTCATTGTATTTGTGCTTTCAATCCATTCATCCATTCACTGCACATTCCATATTTTTGTGTTTGTGTAACACATTCATAAATAACATTACATGCTGCCAAATTCTGGTAAATTAACAAATGTAATTTTTTTTTTCCTTTATCAACTAACACTTTGGGTTGTGGAATGTAGCTTCTCTAATCTGAAAGGTAAAAAACTATATCTATACTTTATAAGTGATGTAATTATTTAGTACAATGTTAGTAATATTGGACACTGAGTTTAGTATATGTGTTCTTTTAATATTAATGTATTTAGCAGTAGTAGATAATCCCTTATTTCTAACAATAGCTCTTCTCCTTTCATCCCAACCCTAATAACCTATCTCAGGTATTTCTTTGCTGTTTTGGCAATCTTAACCATTTTGGGAGTTCTCAACGGATTGGTGCTGCTTCCTGTTCTTCTTTCACTCTTTGGACCACACCCTGAGGTTAGTAAAACTAGTGGTGAACAGAAGAAATAACAATATTCTCTCCCCTCAATCCTTTCTCCAGAAACTTTTTTTTAATTGTGGTTTTTTTTTTAATTTCTATTTTAAGTTTCTTGCTCTCTTTTTATTTTAAGTCTTTTTATGTCTTTAAATGTGACTTTTTATGTATTCAATATTATTTTATGAATTAAAATATATTTGTAGTAAGTAATACTTACTTTGTAGTAAGTTGTTTTAAAGGCTGCAATCAGCAAGCTAGATACAAATGTAGGATTAGGCAAGCTTTTAAAAGAAGAATATGATATGCAAACTTGTCTGTAAAACCAGGCTTTTCCCTGACGTTTTGCAAAAGATAGTTACTTTTGTACACACACCTTCTTCTCTCTCACCGCACTGCCTCTATTACTTTCCTCGAAATATTTAACTCAGCAGACCACCATGGAGGCCTGTGTGGACCAACATACACCAGTGGTGGTCCACAGACCACAGCGGGATAACCAGGGCCACAGGACTGCCCGGGGATCCTTGGTCCTGGCACCCCTCCCTGCAACACCCTTCTGGTTTAAGCAAGGATCTTGATGGGTGGAAGGCTCCGCTTGGATGTTGAGGATGTGGCAGTATAAAGTCCAAGTCCAGCAAAAAAGATTTAATAGCTGTCAAATTTGTATTTGATTGTTCACTATCGGCCCTACAGTTAATACAGTTATTGTGTTATGTAGGGATATCTTTATTCTGCTTTATCAGAAGGCAGAAATGCAGTAATGTTATGCTGCTTGTGTCTATGTATGTGTCTATATATCAAAATAAAACACAGGATGTGATTACAGTGTTACTAATGTTTGAGATATATTATTTTGGTATTTTAGCATTAGTAAAACAATTTTGACAACAGTGCATATTCTCTTACATTTCTAACAGTGTACATGGCTGCTACGTATTCGAACAATATATATGTGCCTATTTTATTATTATGTATGTTTCGGTTGTGTGCATATCCATCTCTCTTTGCAAATAGACACTGAAGCAAATTATACGTACACATTTGAAATGATTTATGGAATCACTCTTAATGTCTGCTGAAAGGGGAGGCAAACCCAGAAAATATCTGTATATTGATAAGGACAAGTGCATATATGTGCCAGCGTACATGCACTTGCTGAGACAGTGATACGTAGAGGAAAATGTATTATCCTATTTACCTGCATCTCCACAGATGGAGATCATGTCTCTCTTTCTTTCATATGTTTTTCAGTGTAATACAAATCTTGATCAGAAAAGCAGTGCCAGAGTTCTCATGGCTCAGAAAGGTGTATTTGGCAAAAGAATACTTGTATCAAGTGCTAATAATTATAAGGGTAACACAAACTGAATGCTGCTGAATGCTAATACTTGCAGTTGTAATTGCCATTATCAGGTTTCTCCAGCCAATGGACGAAACAGATTACCCACGCCATCTCCTGAGCCACCCCCCAGCATCGTAAGATTTGCACTGCCACCTGGGCATACAAACAACGGGTCAGATTCCTCTGATTCGGAGTACAGTTCTCAAACCACAGTGTCAGGAATCAGTGAAGAGCTTCATCAGTATGAGGCCACCCAAGGCCCTGGGGCACCAGTCCATCAAGTAATAGTAGAAGCCACTGAGAATCCTGTCTTTGCGAGATCCAGTGTAAGTAGCTCACATATTTACTGGAAGGAGGGCAGGAAGAGAAGGAATTTCTATTTAAATCTATTTATGTGGGAAAGCTGCAATATTTCTTTTATGTTCCTGACTGATTATGCTTTGTTACTCTCTAATGCAAGTAGAATTTAGAGTACTCGTAGACAGGACGTGAAGGCTTTCATCACCCTCTCCTCTAGAATCAAGCTGGGGATAAAATGATGGCACCAAAGCAGGGGTCTTTGGCACATGTAATTGCTATTCTATTGTATTGGCACCAGCCACAAGAGAGAGCTCTCAGCCTACTCAATGACTGTCCTGGACGACCTGGTGGAAGGACGCAGGACTGAGGTTAAAATTTCCATTCTCCTCCATGCAGCGCCCATTGGTTGCTGCCTCCCTGTACCTCTCCTCTGGCAGCACACTCTTGGGGAGAAAGATTGATAGAGCCCAGAAAAAAGTAGTTTCAGGGCCGTATCAAATCTCGGGCCTGTTATATCTTGCTGCTGGGTTGGTGTAACTGTGATTTCAAAGGAAAGTGAAAGGGCTCTGTCTCCTACCCCCCATGATGCTGCATGCTGAGCTGCAATGCAGATCTGTTTTTGTTCAGCAGAGGCCTAAAAATAGGTACAAGCACAGCCACATTTGAAGTTAGTCACGGTTTATTGACTGATGTGGCTGCTGTGCTTCACGCTTTTTACGGAAATCCAGAAAACAGACTCCTACAGTCTCGACAAACTACCCCACTAACATCCTGTGTGTGTACCCCTATGTGAAGTAGAGCCTTTTCCAAATGCCTGCATTTGTGTTTGTTGAATCAGTTAAAATCAGCTGCTTGCTGTCCATTCATTGAAAGATGGAGCAGTATGTAGGAAGCATATATAATATTTTCAGCTGTAGTCCTGTTTGTCTGAAGTTATGTTTTCTAGATTATAACAACTTCAGACATAAACTATCTGGAAAAATGAGCAGATTTAAGACTCCAGAAGACTACCTTTATAGAGTCAGAATCAGGACAGTACCATTATAAATATACCTCCTGGCATAAGGTATGAAAGAGCATAATATTGCTTGCCATGCTTTGTCAGAAGCATAACCCTACGTCTCGCTTTCAGGTGGTTCAGCCAGAGATGAGGCACCAGTCAAGTCCCAGGTTACGACTGAATCCAGAGGCTGGCACCCAGCAGGCCTGGCGTCAGGGCCGGCAACCCAAACGGGAAGTGAGGGAAGGGCTGCGACCACCTCCTTACCGCCCTCGCCGGGATGCTTTTGAAATTTCTACTGAAGG